GTTATTTATTTTTATATATCACCATTATGGAAATTCTGATCAGATATGCACCTTAGTTTTCTTAGTAATCTTAATTATAAATTATAAGCAAATAAGTCATTCAGCCTTAATTTTCTTATATCCTTAGGAATACTTAATGACATTTAAATTGAATGTTTTTTCCAAGTTCTTCACCACTTGGAAAGATACTTTTTTTTAAGGATGCTTTTAATTGATATTGAAAATGTAATACTTATGTGCCCAGGTAAATTTAAAACTGACATTCTTAGAACTATTAGTCATACACCCTTATCACTACTACTTTAAGACAGCTTTGATTGGAGTAGCTTCTAATTAACCACTCTTAGCTTTTTAGGAACAACTGGAGTTCTGGTTAGTTGCTGTTGAGTTGGCTGTGGCAAACGGAACATTGCACAGTCCTGCTTCATGATTGCTGGTGTGCCTGAGTCTGTTGTGGCCACTGTGTATTTTGAGTGCCTTCCAACCTAGGAAGCTCATCTTCAGCACTAAATCAGACAATGTTCTGTGGTGATGCATAGGGTTTTCCTTGGCTAATTTTCAGAAGTAGATCACCAGACCTTTCTTCCTAGTCTCTCTTAGTCTGGATGCTCTGCTGAATCCTTTTCACCACAGATGATCCTACTGGTATTTGAAATACTAGTGGCATAGCTTCCAGCATCATAGCAACAGGCAAACCACCGCAGTAGGATAAACTGACAAGTAGTCAAAGAAAATAATGACTGTATATATCATGTGCTTTGATGAACTGTCATGATTCTTCAGTTTTAACAAATAAAACGTAAAATTATTTTAATAAAATATTTTTAAAATTCAAATAAACACAAATGTTCTGGGCATTTGCATTTCTTTATGTCAGTTTTAGTAGGACTGAAAAGTATTTTCGGGGTGGGGTTCCTGAAGTTGAGCCTCCATAATTGTTCAGGATCTTTAAATTCATAGCACATTTTCTATACTGGAGACATACACTGAAGTTTAGGTTGTTGTTGTTGTGTGCCGTCGAGTCGGCCCCAACTCATAGCGACCCCTCCTTGGGTTTCCGAGGCAGTATCACTACGGAAGTAGGATTGCCCAACCTTCCTTCCGAGGAGTGGCTAGGGTATCAAAATGTGATCTCAGAAATTTGTATAATTTTATCATTTAGTAATTCATTTTAAAACTTTTTTCCCTTTCTAGCTTCTACTTCAAATTGATCAACAGATAATTCTGCCATTTAAATTCTTTATCTTGTTTCAAAATTGGTGTGGTAGCACAGGATTTATCAAAGAGTGATGGCATTTATAACAAAATTTCTGTCACTGTTTTGTACTTTATTTTAAAATCATTTTTACCATTAATTGCTCACCTTTTCTCTTTTTACATATTTGTACAGAACTTTGTTTTTGTTGCCTCATTAATTATTTCAGTAGCCAGAAATTCTGCTCTTGCCCATGTTTGTTTCTTTAGCCCTCTTTAGCAAAAGTGGGTAAATAAACAATCATGGACAGGAGCAGAATTTCTGGCTACTGAAATAATTAATGAGGCAACAAAAACAAAGTTCTGTACAAATACATAAAAAGAGAGAGAAGGTGAGCAATTAATGATAAAAATGATTTTAATACAGAACAGTGATAGAAAAGGAGGGTGCTCTAAGGCATTTGACTGCTAACCACCCAGAAGGCTGGCAGTTCAAACCCACCAGCCACTCCTCAGAAGATTGGGCAATTTACATCCCTAGAGATACCACCTCGGAAACCCAAGGAGGGGTCACTATGAGTCGGAACCAACTCGATAGCAGTGAGTTCGGTTTGGTATTGATTGCTAAGGAACTTTGATTTGTGTAATATTGGTAGTCTTTATAGTTTCCTTAATGGCTACTTCATGATTCTTTAGAATTTATTAAAAAGTTGATGAAGTTACATAATGTTTTATGCTGTAGTCATCTGGTGGCCTTGAGAATTAATCTTGTGTCGTTTAGAGTACTTAATACAAAGAATAAGCATTTTGTCCCCTAAATATGGCCCTTCTGTGTGAAAAACAAAAGATCAATTTTGTTAACCCTTAATTTCAATGAAGATACAGCATCTTATTCAAAATTTTATAATTTACTTAGTAGTACGGATACTACTTTTGATGGATGATCTTGCAAAAAAATTCCATTTAATAGGTGGGAAAACAAACTCAGTCATTTATAGGAGGCTTGGCTTCCATCTTAAGATTTTTTCCCTAGCAATTTGTATTTTGTAGCTCAGCCACTTCCATTTGGCCCTTGTTGACGTAGATTTAGTTCCCGCTTTTCAGACTGCAGCAAGCTCTAATAATAACTTCCTGAAGTTTTCACTTTGGTTAGCATGTGAGAGATAAATAAAAATGCTATGTAAAATTTCTTAGTTATAACACTCTGTGTTCATGTTTATTTCTTAAAAAAAAAAAAAAAAGGGGGGGGCAGATAGCAGTTGTTTTCTCAGAGCCTATGCCTACACTCATTTGTCTGTCTGTTTTAGTGACTATCCTGGATTCAAGATACATAGTTTTACGTCAAATGACAAAACCACCACGTACCTTTTCTTTTAGTCAATATATTTAAGGTGGCTTACCACCCCTTCTCAGAATTACTTGCTTAAAAGATAAGACTTTGACAACAAGTTATGAAGCAAAATTTTTTTTTGTTTTTTGTTGTGATTTGGGTGAAAGTTTACAGAGAAAATGGACTTTCCGTACAGCAATTCACATACACTTTGTCTCATGACATTGACTACAATTTACTACAATGCAACAGCTCCCCTTCCACTCCCTCCCCATAGTCCCCTCTTCCCTGTGTCCTTACCTCCATGTACTCCTGCACCCTGAGCTATGTCCCTGTGCATACACAGCCCTTCCATTGTCCCATGATTGTTCTCTCCAAGGAGTATATCTATACCTAGTGTAAATGTTCAGCTCATATGCCTGTCTTTTGGCCCCCTTTGTGTTTCCAAGGCTGTAAGTTTTTATAGAAGCATACTGCCTCATCTTGCTTCCATGGAGGAGTGGCTAGTGGGTTCAAACTGCCAACCTTTTGGTTATCAACCAAATGTCTTAACCACTGCACCAGCAAAGCTCCTTTAAATAGCTTTGGCTGGAAGCCACAATTCCACACCTGAAGGGCAGCTAGGGGCCATAGTCTCAGTGGTTCCATCAGGCTCTATCAGACCAGCAAACCTGGTCCTGCCCACCCCCACCCACCCCCCCGCCTATTTCTGTAAATGATTTTGAGTTTTGTTCCACATTGTTCTCCCACTCTATCCAGGATCTCCTACACAGATCCCCCTTTGAGTGGTTGACAGTGGTAGCTAGGCACCATCTAGTTCTTCTGGTCTCATAGTCGTATAGGCTGAGGATTGCATGGTGTACCAGTCACTTGGACTAATTGTTTCTATCAATGTTTAGTTTTCTTCATTCTTCTTTGCTCTGGGCAAGGAGAGACCCCTTGTTGCATCTAGATGATTGCTTGCAAACTTTTAAGATTCCAGTCGTGAAGCAAAAATTTTTAAAACCAAAAACCAGACTCATTGTTTTCAAATTGATTCTGACTCATAGTGACCCCCTTTGGGTTTTCAAGGCTATAAGTCTTCATAGAAGCACACTGCCTCATCTTTCTTCCATGGAACGGCTAGTGGGTTCAAACTGCCAACCTTTTGGTTATCACCCAAATGCCTTAACCATTGCACCAGCAAAGCTCCTTTAAATAGCTTTGTATTAACATATTTAGGAGCTCTGGTAGAGTAGTGCTTAAGGTATTTGACTGCTAACCAGAAGGCTGGCGGTTCAGACCCACCATATTTGAGAATGCCATAAAAGAACTTAAAATTAAAAATCTTCTTATACATTTCTTACTAAAAAGAGAAATATGTGTTTCTCACGTACTTTCTATGTGTTATAAATATATTACATACAATATATTAAATATATCCCTCTCTTAATCTGACTGTATATGTAGCATTTATCTTTCTTGCCTTTCTGTTGACTTTCTTAAACTGAAGGGAATAATAAATTCACTTTCATTGACTCTCAATTCCCATATTACCCACAGAAAAGAGAGCCTAAACTACAAGACTTAAGTAACTTACATAATATTCCTTCACTAGTCTTTCACAAAAGAACCCTGGTAGTGCATTGGTTAAGTGCTTAGCTATTAACCAAAAGGTTTGAATGTCCACTCCACGAGAGAAAGATACAGCATTCTACTTCTGAAGATTTATAGCCCTGGAAATCCTACTCTGCTCTGTTGGGTCACTGGGTCAGAATTGACTCCCCAGCAGTGGGTTTGTTGTTGTTGTTTAGTCCTTCAAAAATTTTAAGATTAAAATTTCCTGGTAAATTATATTGGATATTTATAGTCTCATAAAATTACATGTACTACACAAATAGTTAACAGTAATAATGATATAGTAACAGAAGCAGTGCTACTTAGTTTATTGAATGCCAGTCATATTCCAAACTCTGTAAACCTTTGAGTTACTTGATTTAATTATTAGTCCTGTCAGGTAGTTACTCTTCTTATTCCCATTTTACAAATGTGGAAACCGAGGCCAGCAAGAAGTTAAATGACTTGTCCAAGTGTACCTGCTATATATCTGAGCCAAGATTTGCATTAAGATCTTTGAATCCAAAACCCATATTCACAATTCTGTAATTACTACTCTAAGTAAATTGTATTTGTAGTTTTATTTCATTGGAAGAAAACTGTTCCCAATAATGCATGGAATGCAACACCTGCCTTTAGATGGCAAATGGTGATAAATGAATGTTGCTTTTGCTTCTACATTCTCAGGTCAGTGTTTACTGTCTTTCGGTCATTTTTGATGGTAGACTCTGAGATAGATGTGGAGAAAGTAGGACTTCCAGAAATTCCAGACCTAAAATTTATATCTATTACTTATTGCCACTTGTCAATCTAAAAAGATTTGATATGCTGCCTATTTTCTGTTTGTCTGTCTTGAAATTCTGCCTTTGCCCTCTTGCAGCAGTGATTCCAGCAGTACTTCAAGTGATGACTCTCCAGCCCGATCTGTTCAATCTGCAGCTGTCCCAGCACCCACTTCCCAGTTACTTTCATCTCTGGAAAAAGATGAACCCCGTAAAAGTTTTGGGATCAAGGTTCAGAATCTACCAGTACGCTCCACAGGTAAAATTGTGCAACTGTACTTTCCTCTCGGCCTCTCTTGGGGAATGAGATAGACTGAGAAACTTGAACTTTATACTTTACAGTGAAAGCAAGTTTCCTTTTTGATGTTTCATTAATTTTTCATGCCATGGAGGAAAAAACGTGATTATTATAACTATATGTAGCTTAATTTCTAGGTTATTACTCATATACATAATATATAAAGATTTCATGGTGGATTATATGTGTAGGTGGGTATATGTATATGTGTATACACATAATAAAGATTGCATGATATATAAAGAAAACATGGTTTATTTCTGAAAAAAACATGCTTTCTGGATTAAATGTTTTAGTACTAGGAAAAATTTGATATGATGGAAATTTAGAAGTACCAATAGTATTTTCAGTGAGATTTATTATATTTTGTCCTCTGTTATGTGAAATAACTTTGGAAATAAAATTATGGCAAGAAACATTTTAAAATAGTGACATTTTAAGTGAGGAAAGCAGAGAATAACGGAAAAGTCTAGTTAAAGGCTAGAGTATAGTTTCTTTTTTATTCTCAATAATTTTAGTTGACAGTTGACATAATATACTGTTATTCCAACATTAGGCATGTTGTTGTTGTTATGTGCCGTTGAGTCGGACCATAGCGACCCCTCCTTGGGTTTCCAAGGCAGTATCACTACGGAAGTAGATTGCCCCATCTTCCTTCCGAGGAGTGGCTGGTGGGTTTGAAACTGCCAGCCTTCTGGTGAGCAGTCAGGTGCCTTAGGCACTACGCTACCAGAGCTCCCAACATTAGGCATATTGAGTATATAAATGGCTAAAAAGCATAGGTGATCAAACCAATGAAAACCACTTTAAGTATTTCTCAGCTAAGTGCGTTTCTGTTATAACTTAAATTATTTATTGAAATAACCTATAAAACTTAGATACCAATTTTTTTAAATACAGATATTGAGACATAAATGTTGATGAGCTTTTAACTTAGATTACTTGATAAATTAAAAATGGGCAAGGAGGTTAAATTGATTTGCCTTTCTATACAGTTTTTTATAATGAAGCAAATTAACACAAGACCTCCAGATGGTATGATTCGTCTATAAAAGGCGTTACTGTTGTTTAACATGTTACATGCCCTGGCTTTCCTTCTCAAGCCTTTTATAATATATAATTTTTATTATGAAAATTTTAAACATACCTCAAAGTAGAAGGAATAGCACTGTGAACCCTCCCCCCTTGTACCATATCCCAGCTTCAAAAATTAACAACATTTTGCCACACTCGCTTCATCTGTCTCTAGCTTCCTTCTTTCCTGTTCTTGTTGTCTTTTTTAATTTCCTTTTTGGTATTTTAAAGTGAATTCCTTACCTTATGTCATTTCATACTGATATATTTTCTGTATGTATCTATAAAATACAAGTACATTTTTCTACATAACCACAGTAACATTCTTATCTAACAAATAACGAATAATATCATAAAATCTAATCAATCTTCAGAATTGTATAATAGTCTTCAAAATGTCTTTTTAGAGAGCTCCGGTAGCATAGTGCCTAAGGCACTTGACTGCTAATCAGAAAGCTGGCGGTTCAAACCCACCAGCCACTCCTCGGAAGGAAGATTGGGCAATCTACTTCCGTAATGATACTGCCTCGGAAACCCAAGGAGGGGTCACTATGAGTCAGGGCCAACTCAACGGTATATAACAACAACAACAACATATTTGAAAAGTATTTTAATATTAACAAAATTTAGGTCAAATTTCAGGCTAAAATTTAATAGCTTGATATTGGGTTGTAACTAAATTAGAAGAATAACTTGTTTTTGTTTGGGGATTTAGATACAAGCCTTAAAGATGGTCTTTTCCATGAATTTAAGAAATTTGGAAAGGTGACATCAGTGCAAATACATGGAACTTCAGAAGAGAGGTATGGTCTGGTATTCTTTCGACAGCAAGAGGACCAAGAGAAAGCACTGACTGCGTCAAAAGGAAAACTTTTCTTTGGCATGCAGATTGAAGTAACAGCATGGATAGGGCCAGGTAAGGGACGAACTTGAATTTCACTGTAATTTGTGTTCTAGTTTATGAAAAGGTTAGCATATTATCCCAAACGTGGGTATTGTTTCAACTTTATTTATTGATACACTTCCAGCATCTTCTGTTTTAAAGGGTGGTTATATTTAATGTTCAATTTAATAAGAAATAATTGTTTTGGTTAGAAAGAATAAAGATTGTTCTATTTCTGTAAAAGAGAAATGTTAACTTTTAAAAGACTGAAAGGCAGAGTTTAGCCTCTTGTTGAGTCCAACCTTCCCAAAAGGATCAAACTGATTGAGATTAGGAGACAGATCTTAAAAGAATGACAATGAAATTACTCTGAATTAGAAAACAAACTATTTGTTAATAATCTACTTGAGAAACTGATTAGATCAGATTTTATTTCCTTTATGCCCAGCACAAATTACATCTCTTATTCTAGCTTCCATGACCTTGAAATATAGTGACAGAGAAGCATGATTAAGTCTCATGGGTGGAACCCACTGACAATTTCAAGGGACATTTTATTAGCTTGAACCTATTTGTAAGGCCTAATGTAAAGTATCTCTGGTAGCATAGTGCCTAAGGCACTTGACTGCTAACCAGAAGGCTGGCGGTTCAAACCCATCAGCCACTGCTCGGAAGGAAGGTTGGGCAATCCTACTTCCGTAGTGATACTGCCTCGGAAACCCAAGGAGGGGTCGCTATAAGTCGGGGCTGACTCAACGGCAAACAATAACAACAACAACAACAACAATGTAAAGTAGAAAGTTTAAGGCATAGCATGGGTCAGTCAGTGTTTCTCCTGTTTTGGAACCACCTGCACTGCTTATTTAAAAAGACATGTTCTGATTCTATCCCAGGCCTACCAATTCAGAATTCATGCGTTCAGATTTGGGAACCCTTGATTTAAGGTGATCTGTGAGTAAATCTGTAAAGGAATAACCAAACCAAGACCAAACTCACTGCCATTGAGTTTATTCCAACTCATAGTGACCCTCGTTGGGTATCCAAGGCTGTAAATCTTTATGGAAGCAGACTGCCTATTTTTCTTCTGTGGAGGGTCTTGGTGGGTTTGAAATGCTGACCTTTTGGTTAACAGCCGATGGATGCTTTAACCACTACACACCAGAGCTCCTTAGAAATGTTAAAATTATACAGTTACCTATGGAGCTGGGACATTTGGAACTTTTTTAAAAGTAAGACTTCATTACTTTGAGTGGAATTCTGAGTAAGTGTGGCCCATTTTATTGAAATACTTATTTAACAATTATGAGGAGAAAAAAATTTCCTGAAAAATAAATGTTATTTGCATATTAAAATAGTCATGAAATTATTAGAGTAAAGAATGCAAAATATGCACAATTTTATGATAAAACATGGGAATTCAAAGGAATATTATCCTTCAAAGAGAATTTGAGGTCATGCCTTTAGATTCCTACGAAGGAATTAATCTTCTACCAAGTTTAAGATGTACCTAAATTATCCTGGGCTAAGAGCAACTCAAGAGTTCTTTGTTAAAACAAGCCAGAACTGACTGGAAAATACATGGCATTATATGAATTATATGACATTTTAAATGTCATATAATCTACATAAATTTTCAGAATTATTCATAGTTATTAAGTTATAAGGGTCTAATCCAGGGACATTCAGCAGTTGATCTGATGTCCAAGTGACAAGGCTAGCCTGAGATTTTTACTGTAAAAAGCATTTTACCTAACTGGTTAGCAACTTTAACTAACTGCCAGTAAAGAATTTGAAAAGTTTGGTTGTTTCAACTATAAACGCAAAAAATGCAACACATTGTCATGGAGTTGGATTTCATTCATAGTGACCCTTCCTTGGGTTTCCGAGGCAGTATTACCACAGAAGTAGATTGCCTAACCTTCCTTCTAAGGAGTGCCTGGTGGGTTTGAACTGGCAGCCTTCTGGTTAACACTCAGATGCCTTAGGTACTATGCCACCAGAGCTCCTGTTTCAAGTATAGGAAAGTAGAAAGGCCTTTTCCCTGGTGAACAACATTAGATACCAGTTAATGGGATGTTCAAAAGCAGTTGAGTATGTGTATGGAGATTTGGTTAGAATTGTGCTGTTACATGGTTGTTATCAATGTATTGTACTGAAATGTTTTGAATGGATTGCTTAGGCCAAGGACTTTTGAGAACTAGATCCAAATCCAAGAAACTCAACTTAGATATTCTGGAGACTTCTGAGATTGTACTTCCTATATGTACACTGTAGAATCCTCTAAATAAGAAATTGAAGGAAAACAATTTTTTTTCCAAAGACATATAGGCATTAAGATTTAGACTTGTCAGGTAGATTACAAGATCAAAATCAAGTAGATTACACGATCAAAATCAAGTAGTTTACACGTGGAAATATATTCTATTTTCCTTTGCTAAAGTGAATTTCTGGTTTTGAAAATTTGCCAAGTTGTTTGATAGAAATGAAGTCATTATGGATATTAATGGTTACAAATCATGCTTTGCATTTCTGATTCGGCCTGTTTGATTATGACCCTCAAAATGTGTCGTGATTCTCCATACCGCCTCCTCTGCCCCCACCATTTTTTGTGTGTGATTTATTCCTAAATGCCTACCCTCCACCAGGTAGTTTCAAGAGGAATTAATCAAGCTTAAAATGAGACACAATTAGTAGCCTTGTGAGATATAATGAAAATGTAGAGATAGCTATATGATTCCTGGGAGCTCTGGTGGCATAGTGCCTAAAGCACTTGACTGCTAACCAGAAGGCTGGCGGTTCAAACCCACCAGCTACTCCTCGGAAGGAAGGCTGGGCAATCTACTTCTGTAGTGATACTGCCTCAAAAACCCAAGGAAGGGATGCTATGAATTGGGGGCGACTCAGTGCATTTAACAACAACAACATATGATTCCTGGACAGTTTCTGGGTCCACTTGACTCTGAAGAATTTATTCTTTGATGAAACTGTTAAGAGTAAACTGAGCTATCATTAGAACTGTCAAACTGACCGAATCCACTCACCTACTCTGAAGTTGGGTCTTTTAATACTAGTGTTCACAATGTCAGTAATGTTCAGTGGCTGGCACTAAACACTTTGTTTCCATAACATTGAGTAAATAATTTTTTTTTTTAACACCTTTTGCTTTACATTTTGGGGGAAAAAAAAAAAAGGAACAAACAGGCTGTGTTACAATTGTTACTGACAAAACACTGAATGTCCATGCCTAGAACAATTTAATAAATGAAACTTCAGAGAAAGTCAATGACTGAATTGGAAAGTAAACCTTGGCATTTGATCATAAAGCATAGAAATCTTAAGGATCATTTAGTGTTTCTTTCTTTTTCTCATTGAGGACCACACAGCACCAAAAGAAGATATTCCATAAGTGTTTGTTCAGTTAATTTTCATAGGATTATTACTTTTGTATGTAACATATTCCTCATTTAGACAGTTGGGTTATTACAACTGTTAATTAGTATGATAAGTGCTAATTAGTATGACAAATGAGAAACACTAAATAGCCTATAAAAAGTAAGTGAAAATTAAATCATTTAACTTGACTGTTTTCGACTTGAGATTTGTATGTATTTCAGATTATAGTTCTGTCATTAGCACTATTGCATAAGTTTGGAACCTAAAATTAGCTCAGATTTTTACCATTTTTTTGGAATGTTTTTGTCAGTATTGTACTATGGTGGCTTGCATACTGCTGTGGTGCTGGAAGCTATGCCACTGGTTTTTTAAATACCAGCAGGTTTATCCACAGTAGATAGGTTTCAGTGAAACTTCCAGACTAAGACAGATTAGAAAGAAGGGCATGGCTGTCCACTTCTGAAAAAAACTGACCACTGAAAACCTCATGAAGGGCAATGAAACATTGTCTGATATAGTGTGGAAGATGAGCTCTGTAGGTTAGAAGGCACTCAGAATACGACTTGGGAGGAGCTACTGCCTCACAGTAGACTTGACTTTAATGATGTGGATGGAGTAAAGCTTTTGGGACCTTCATTTGCTGATGGGACACAACTCAAAATGAGAAGAAACAGCTGCAAGCATCCATTACTAATAAGAACATGGAATGTATAAAGTATGAATCTAGGAAATTTAGAAGTTGTAAAAAATGAATTAGAATGCATAAGGATTAATATCCTAGGCATTACTGAGTTGAAATAGACTAGTATTGGCCATTGTAAATGGACAGTCATATGGTCCATTGTGCCATATTGAACATATTGAAGAGGAATGGTTTCATATTCAATATCAGAAAGAAAATTTCAAGAACTATCCTGAAGTACAGGAGCTCTGGTGGCATAGTGCCTAAGTCATTAGACTGCTAACCAGAAGGCTGGTGGTTCAAATCCACCAGCCACTCCTTGGAAGGAAGGTTGGGCAATCTACTTCTGTAGAGATACTGCCTTGGAAACCCAAGGAGGGGTTGCTATGAGTTGGATCCGACTCAATGGCAGTATATTTGATTTTTGTTTTTTTATTCTGAGGTACATTGCTGCCTGTGATAGGATAATATCCATACATCTACAAGGAAGACTAGTTAATACTATTACACAAATTTCTTCACCAACCACTAAAGCCAAAGATGAAGAAATTGAGGAGTTTTACCACTTTCTGTAGTGTGAAATGGACCAAATGTGCAATCAAGATAATATTGATAATTACTTGTGATTGCAACGTGAAAATTGGAAACAACAAAGAAACATTGGTAGTTGGAAAATAATACCTTAGTGATGGAAACGATGCTAGAGATCACATGATAAAACTTCGCACAACCAATGACTTAGTCATTGCAAATTCCATTTTTCAACAACATAAACAGTAACTATACATGTGAACTTTGCAAGATGGAATCCCCAGGAATCAAACTGACTACATCTGTGGAAAGAGATGATAGAGAAGCTCAATATCATCAGTTAGAACAAGGCCAGGGGCCTACTGTGGAACAGATCATCAGTTGCTCATCTGCAAATTTTAAGTTGAAGTTGAAGAAAATTAAACAG